GGCTTTGGGTCAGCAAAAGCCGAACGTGCTAGAGCGAGAATGCATACCAAGCTTCAGCAGGATATTGCAAAGCCGATTGAGTTGGATTGAAGACCTAGTTAGCATCAGCATAACTTCCGTTCAACAATAAATAATACGTTAGATGCGTACATAATTCCTATCAATGCCGCCTCGTCAATTAGTGTGTAGTATTGCCATCTTCTTGGTCGGAAATTCTCGTGACGCTACATCCGTGCTTTCACAGGACACAAAAAAATAAGAAATTAGGCTTAGAAGGGCAACATTTACAAAAAAAATGTGAAGGGGTTCCTCTACTTTGTTTATTCTCGCCGCAAATGCAAAACAATAGATCTTCTTCTAGTGATGAATTTCTCCATCCTGTAGCTCTCTCATATGTAATGAACCACATCATAGTGTTAGAAGCAGCCTCCAACGTGAACAATGAGCGTTGACGTACATTGGAGTTTGCGTTGTACTTGTTACTTCCCGCTGCGATTGTAGAGCGGTGTCGACGTCTCTACCGATGGGTTACACTTCATTGTAACCCTCTGCGAGATAACGAGCTGCGCTATAGTGTTAGAAGCCGCCTTGAACGTAAATTATATGCGTAGTCGTACCTTTGATTCTATCTGCACCGCAATTTAATAGTGAGGGCTCTTCAGACGATTTGAGATGGACTCCCTAAACGTTATATCCCTTCAATATAGATTTGATCGTTTATGTATCGGTAGGTCGGCGTCTGTCGGCACCGTCACGCTATGGTTCATTAAAGCCTCTAATGGTCAATAACTTGCATCGAAAATCTCAAATCAATTCTCAATCTGCCCTCCAAAAATCATAACATGACGACTTTGGGGCAATGGTGACCAGTTATTTGATACGAACGACAACGTTTAGATGCATTGTTGCATTTTCTAGTTATCTTGTATGTTGGGCACGCAATGAAAACTCAGCTAAAAAAAATAGTCTTTGAAATCCCATACTAAACTTTAGTCAAGACTAAGGCCCTGTTCGAAAAAGGTTAGAATCACTAGTTTTTCAACGATATCATATACTAGTATGGAATCATGCTGCATCTTTACGGCTGAACCCCCCCCCCCCCCCAATATTACGCATATGAATTCCGTGTGTATTTTACTTATTTTACGAATAAAGTACTCCCTTAGTGATACTTTTAAAGTATTAGAGTATTAGGGAGAATATGTTTTACAGTATTGTCCGTTTCACATACTTTGCCGCCTCGTAAGGACTTCTTAATCGGTCTTTGGGAGCAGTTAGGGTAAATCTAAACTTAGGTTACCACTTTGCCAAACCGACGTCGGCGTATGCGTAAAACGGTCATCAATGTACTCGTACATGTAATATAAATATCCTTAGCTCCAGACAAACAACCACTTTCGTTTGACAACAAGAAGCATAGGTTCCTCGTAGAAAATGCTGGCGAAGACACTTTTCCTTCCGTAGTTCGCTGCTGCTTGACTATCAAAAAATGAGAGCCATTGGGAAGACGCCGCGACAAGGGAAGAGTAGCTCGATTTGACTTTACAATCATTGACGGTCGTGCTGTGCTTCGGGCAAAGGTCGAGTCCAAGTTTTAATCTCAAATAGGAAAAGCGCTCGACTCAAGCACAATGGAATACGTAAAGCCTAGCAATAATGCATCACAGAAGCTTTTCCAGCCAATTGCGTCCACCGACCAAGAGCTAACTCAGCAGCTCGAGATGATCTGAAGACGCGCACGACTTCGTAAAAGGGGTCGGTCTGAATTCGAGATAGAATTATTCGTCTACATGCGCAAAAGCCCTCCTCCTACGACAATAAGGCGTGCAACCCAGTCTAGAATCCAGGAGCAACTTCCTCTGGTAGCTGATTTTTTACGCAGCAGAGAAGTATCCGCTGGGCCAGCGACGATGCTGTACATAGCTACAACTCAAGCAAGACTCCCCTCTGACGCGCCCCTGGAAGTGCCGACAAGTTCGACGTTTCAACAACTTCAGTACGTTGATGAACAACAAAGGATTCTGTTTGTTCTTTGAGGCAGTAGTTACACCGGCTTCAGAAACACCAATCAAAGCATCTTCGAGAGAAACGTCGTCAGATAATTTGACAACTTCAACGCCCCCCATTGTAACATTAGGAAGATCTAATATCTG